GGAAGAAGTACATGCAAAGCGCTTCTCAGAGGCAAGGCTAAAGACACTTCATCTCATGCACTTTGGACGTTTCAGGAGAGCCCAGTCCCTGGAAAAGGACTTCGTGCTTGGTAAAGCAGAGGGCAGGGAAAACAAGGGGACTCTCAACAAGATGCATTGATACAGTGGCTGCAACAGTGTGCTCGAACGTCATAAGAACAATTGTGAGGATGGCGCTGTTCCCTTCTGTTGTGTATGGGGTCGATGTGTGCTTGAACTAACTTGATGACACCTAACAGTTGGTTGGCTTTTGTAAAAATTGCTGTTTTTCTAAGTTCCTTTCCAGAGCTCTCTGTTAGTATAAAGGAATCTGTTTGCTGTTACATGTTGATCTTGTCCTGTCACACCTTGCTGAATCTTTCGATTAGTTCCAGATGCATCGTCATGGTGGGAAAACCAGTCCATGTGCCACAAATCAGGCCTTTTTTATCCACACGATTACGTATTCTTTTCAGAACCTTGAAATAGAAAGCTTGATTAACAGTCTGACCTGGTAGAACAAACTCCAAATCACTATAAGCCGATACTTTTGTCTGCTCAGGAAGTTGATGGAAATCCAGAATGAGGTGTTTTATCAATCAACATTTCACCTTATTTGAAATGAGAAAACCACTCGTACACTTGAGTTTTTCCTCATAGCGCTGTCCTTGTGAGCTGTGTTCAACATCACAACAGTCTGCATTTTTCTCAAGCAGGAAACAAAAGTTCACAGCTACACGCTGTTCTCTTAAATTGGCTATTACAAAAAAAGGAGGTTCGAGCGAAACTGCTTTTACGAAAAAATTCACTGTGACCAGAGAGAACACTCCTAGGCGACACCACTGGGTGCGCTAACTCAGAGTAAGTTGCTCACTTAACGGGAAAAATACAAACTATGAAAGCTCTGCCCTGCCCAGTATAATTTTGGATTTTTGGGGGTACTCCCTCATATATCAAGAAAACATCCCCCACCCCCCAAAAAAAAAAAAAATCCCAGCACAGTCTGCCTTAAGTCTAAAAGCCCAGCACTAGTCTAAAAGTCCCTCTTCAGACTCACGAAGCCATGTGCACTGATGCAGAATGCAGGAACGAAAGGTGAAGGCAGAGAGAGGAGGTTCCCAGGACCCGCCTTCTGAGAAGGCCACACCCACCAGGCTGTAACCTGCACCCCTACACCTTTTTTAATAACACCTTTTTTCTATATCTTCAAATTGACACAAAATTATATAACTACCGTGGGATTTTGTCAAAAAATTTTTAATATTTTTCCTATAACAACCGATCATATGGTTCCTCCATTGTTTTATTTATATTGTTTTTTTCTGATGTTGAAATGGTGTGACTCCCCTTGGGTCATCATGTATTATTGTTTTTGATATATATTGTTGGGTTCTTTTGGCTAGGATTTTGTTGAGATTTCTCAAACTTCTTATTGTGAATAAGTTGGGGGGGGTTACATATCAGAAGATCATTTGTAAACAGCTTATCAAACTCCTAATCCCCTTATCTCTCTGTTGTAATATGTTATCTTCCCATCACCCAAGTTAACAGCCGCCGACTTCTAGCCTATTGCTTCCCCTCCTCTCATTCCCTCTTACCCCAAGGAACCAGAGTGCTTTTGGTATGAAACCTTTTCTTGCCTTTAAAAAAGTTTGTTTAAATAATAATGGTCTCTTATAGTATTTGACCTTTTGTGATTAACTAACTTCACTTAGCATGATGTATTCCAAATCCATCCACGTTGTGTGATGTTTCAGTTTTACCCTTATTCTTTAGCCAGGGGTAAGATTCCATTGTCTGCTCGTACCAAAATTCATCCATTCTCCCACCGATGCGCATTCAGGTTGTTTCCATCTTATGACTATTGTGGAATGCTGCAGTGAACAGGAGTGTGCGTGCATCTGTCTGTGCTGTGTGTTTTACTTCTGTAGGGTATCTACCAAGTAGTGCTATTGCTGGGTCATGTGATATTCCTATTGCCAATTGTTTGATGAAGCTCCACACCATTTTCCACAGTGATGGTTTTGGCTATTTCAAGCCCTATACATTTGAAGATTGATTTTTTCTTTCTGTAAATACTGTTGGAATTGTTATGGATTTCTTGTTGAATCTTTAGATTGCTTTAAGTAATACTAACATTTTAACCATATTAAATCTTCTGATCATGAGCACAGAATAGTCTTCCATTTGTTTTCCAGTGTATGAATCTTGTACTTCCTTGTTAAATTTGTTCTTAGGTATTTTATTATATTTTCATTTTTAAATGTCTTTAATAATTAATTTTTCCCCCGCAACAGTTTTAGTGGCATATAATTCACACATAGCATTCACAATTCAATAGTTCAATCCTAGGTATTCTTTTAGGTGCTTTTGTAAATAGAAATTTGTATTTCCTTTTCTCATTGGTTATGCCTGGTGTATTAACAGTCAACTTGTTTTTTGTTTTTTTTTCAACTTGGTTTTTGCGTGATAACCTAACATCACCTTACTGAAGTCATTCGTTAGCTCTAGTAGCTTTCTTCTGGACTTTTTGGGGTCTTGTATATATAGGGTCATGTCATCAGTCAAAAGGATGGTTTCATTTCTTCCTTCCAGATTTGGAGTTATTTTATGTCCTCTTGCCTAATATACCTGGTTAGGGCTGCCAGTATCGTTTTGACCGGCAGTGGTGAATGTAGCTAGCCTTGTCTCCTTCCTGCTCTTCAGGGGAAAACTCTCAGTGTTTCTCTATGAATGTGATGAACAAACCAACAACCCGCTGCCTTTGAGTCCATGCTGCCTCTAGGACAGAGGAGAGTCGTTTCCTAAGGTTCTGAGACTATCTTTACAGGAGCAGACACCCTCCCCTTCTCCTGAAGCACAGCTGGAGAGCTTGAACCACACACCATGCTCCACCCACACTGTGCCGCCGCGGCTCCTGGACAGTGATGGCGGCTTTGGGTTTGTCTTGGGTGCTCTACATCAGATTAGGAATTTTCCATTCTATTTCTACTTGATGATGCGTTTTTATCTCAAAAAGGTATTGAATTTTGCCATGTCCTTTTTCTGCATCTGTTGAGACGATCATGTGGTCTTTCCCCCTTGCTCTGTTAATGTAGAAGATCACATTTGATTTTTCTCATGTTGGGACCACCCTTATGTTCTCGGTCATAGCGTATTGTCACTTTAATGTATGGTCTTGGATTTTATTGAGGATTTTTGTTCCTGTACTCATAGGGATACTGGCCTGTAGTTTTCTTTTCTTACACGGTCTTTACCTGGCTTTGCTAGTCTCATCAAAGTGATTAGAAAGTGTTCCCTCTGTTTATATTGTTAGGAAATTTACAAAAAAGGATTCGGGTGATTTGGTATAGTTCACCAGTGAAGCTATCCGTTGGGTCTGGGGATTTTCTTTTGGGGGAAGTTTGTGATTCCTCACTTAGTTCCTTCACTTGTTCTGGGTTTGTTGGGCTTTTTCATTTGTTTTGAATCAATTTAGTTTGTGTTTCCAGGAATCCATTTCATATAGGTTCATAATACTTTATGATGTCCATCCATAAGGGTGGTAGTAGTATTCCCATTTAACTATTTACTAGTTACACCTTTTTATCTTCCAATCTAGTTAAAGGCTTTTCCATTTAATTGGTATTTAAAAAACAAAAAACTTCTGGCTTCCTGGGCTCATCTGTTTCCTTTCTCTGCTTATCTCTGCTCTGGCTTTTGCTGTCCCCGTTCTTGTACTTGCTTTGTGCTTGTTTTGCGCTCACAGTTCAGGTGAGGTATAACTGCTCCACCGTGTTGCCATCAACAGCGCTTTCACTACATTCTGTCAGTATGGATGTCTTGTGCTTTCATATTCACCTGCTCAAAGTATTTCCTGAAGCTGCTTTTTAATTCTTTGACCACTGGTTGCTTATTAAATGTATTGTTTAGTTTCCATCTGTTTGTGTATTTCTGTGTATTCATTGTGATCAGAGAAAATACTTTGTATGTCTTCAGCCATTTTTAATTAATTAGAGACTTGCTTTCCAACTCAACCTAAGGTCTGCCATGGAGAGTGGTTCACATTTTGTGCTGTGGTTGGGTTGTCAGTAGCTTATGGGTCTCATTGGCTAATAATATTGTTCACTTTCTGTTGCTTTATTGGCTTTCTGTGTAGATGTCCGTTCAAATGGCTTGTTGACGTCTCGTTATTGTATATTATTTCTCCTTTAGTTCTGTCAGTGTCAGTGTGTTTCAGGGCTCGTTAGTTGGGTGTACACATCTTCTGGACAAGCTCTTTTACTGTTATGCAATATTCTTCGTCTCTTATAGCAGATTTTGACTTAGAGCTCCTTTTGCCTGGTATTAAAATCACCACCCTACCTATTGGTTACTATGTGCTTGAAGTAAATATACTTTATAGGGAGTTGATTCCGCCTCGTAGACACCCTCTCGAAGGCTTCTGAGCCCATAAATCTTTGGGAAGAGGTTGCACCATCTTCCCTCTCTAAGAGTGGCGGGTGGGCGTGAACCCACCTGCATTGTGGTTAGCAGTTCAGTGCCATCAGCTCTTGAGGAAGTGGACACTCAGTGCCATCAAGTCAGATTTGACTCACTGCGACCCCGTGGACAGAGTAGAACTGCCCCTGTTGGCTCCTGAGACTATAAATCTTTAGTGGAGCAGAACACCTCTTCTCCAGGGGAGTGGCTAGTGGATTTGAACGGCTGACTTTGTGCTTAGTGGCGCAACATGTACCCACTGTGCCATCAAGGCTCCTCAAGAAAGAGGGGGATAGTACCTAAAATATTTTCTTCTGAACATTTCTGGTTTTGATGCTTCCAAAGTGTCAAGCTTTTAACTCTGTGCAGGTGCTCTTGTGGCAGGTGCCCCTCCAGGGTTGATGCGAGGTCTCTATGTACAGGTCTCTGTGGACTGCCTTGCCCTTGGGGTTTAAGACTAGCTTCCCCACATAATGAAGAGCAAATTGACGTGTGCCTAGGACCAGCTTGTCTGTTTGTAGGACTTCTGGTAGAAAGAGTGAAGTGAAAGAAGCCAAGCAGTCTGACGGACCAAAACCTCGGAAGAAACCAGGCCCCAAGCCAGGCTGGAAGAAAAAACTCCGCAGTGAAAGGTGAGGTAGGTGCGTGCATGTGACAGCAGGCATGGTACCCGTGTGTGTGTGTGTGTGTGTGTGTGTGTGTGTGTGTGTGTGTGTGTGCGTGCGCGCTGGGGGGAGCTCACATGTGCTCTCTCTGCCCTCAGGGAGGAGTTGCCCACAATCTACAAGTGTCCTTACCAGGGTTGCACAGCCGTATACAGAGGTGCCGATGGCATGAAGGTGAGCAGGGTTGTGGGGGCAGCATGGTATTCCTGCAGTCCCAGGTATAAGGGGTGGGGGGCAGCCCGTTGAGCACCCACCGCCTGGGGAAAGCTAAGCTCTGAAGGACAGGATGTTGCCCATCAAGGAGCCCTTGGCTCTGTCCTCCAGGCAAGCCTACCACCTCTGAGTGGAGCAGCCTCCCGGAACAGTGTTGCCACAGTGACACTCACAGCTTGCTGTCCTACAGAAGCACATCAAGGAGCACCATGAGGAGGTCCGGGAGAGGCCCTGCCCACACCCTGGCTGCAACAAGGTGTTCATGATCGACCGCTACCTGCAGCGCCACGTGAAGCTCATCCACACCGGTAACCACGCTGTTGTCCTTGCGTTGGGGACACCCTGCAACTGCTCTGTAGACCGGAGTAGGCTTTGAACTACCTGCCCACCCCACAACACAGCCTGTCGGTGTGCTCAGGGAACCCGGGCAATGCTCGGGGTCCACCCGTAAGTAGGGCCAGGTCTGTTAAGATTCCTAATCTGTGATGCTGTGGCACACGTATGTGAGGAGGCAGGAGAGCCCTGTGTCCTCTCAAGATGGGGCTGGGCCATCTATCGAGCCCTACAGGATTTGTTATGGCTTCCCTACAATTTCCTTTTTCACGCTGACCCTTCTACTCCTCTGCCACACATGCCTTTGGGTCTGCCGAGCAGATCAACCATTTGTGTTCATCTGAATGTGCTTGTAGATGGGAGACAGGATCAGTGCTAAGAGGTCAGGTGGTGGTGACTGTACAGGGTCACTGACTGGTGTCCAGTGCTGTGTGGGCCAAGAAAGGAGGACCTGCTTAGGGGCCGTCTGGGAGTGTGATGGGCATGTGTGTGGCTGTGGCTCAGGGTTAAGGATAAGTTGGTTTCCAAAGCATTTCTTTATCCTTCCATGGCCCCTTCCTACCTGATGAGGGGCTGATGTCCTAGAGCAGGGGTTCTCAACCTTCCTAGTGCTGCGACCCTTTCGTACAGTTCCTCATGTTGTGACCCCCTCAACCACAAGATTATTTTTGTTGCTACTTAACTGTAATCTTGCTACTGTTATGAATTGGGTGACCCCTGTGAAAGGGTCATTCGACCCCCCAAAGGGGTCATGACCCACAGGTTGAGAACTGCTGCCTTAGAGCATGGCAGAGGTGGACAATCAGTAGGAATGAGCGCTCGTTTATCTGAGAACAGGCTTGACATGTGCTCATTGGCACCGTGAGCACCTTGGTCAGACAGCATCCCATCGCCTTTCCTCTGTAGACAGGGTCCTTGGGGACGGCGTCCCCTCCTGTGTGAATCGGCGGAAATGGGTGTTCAGTGATGCATGTCCCCCTTTTGTCTCCAGAGGTGCGGAACTATATCTGCGATGAGTGTGGGCAGACCTTCAAGCAGCGCAAGCACCTCCTCGTGCACCAGATGCGCCACTCGGGAGCCAAGCCCCTTCAGTGAGTGCAGGCCGCGGTTACGCGTGAGGTGGACGATGGGGGTGGGCTTGCAGTGTGTGGACTGGGCTGGGTGGCAAGGGAGCAGGCGCAGGGTCTGGCCTGCACACTCATCCCTTTAGGGCAGTGGTTCTCAACCTTCCTAATGCCATGAGCCTTTAATACATACAGTTCCTGATGTAATGATACATCCTACCTGATGATGGGCTGATGTCCTAGAGCAGGGGTTCTCAACCTTCCTAGTGCTGCGGCCCTTTCATACAGTTCCTCATGTTGCAGTGACCCCCCCCAACCATAAAATTATTTTCATTGCTACTTCATAATTACAATTTTGCTACTGTTATGAATCGGGCGACCCCTATGAAAGGGTCATTCGACTTACAAAGGGGTCAAGACCCACAGGTTGAGAACCGCTGCTTTAGGGTGCCAGGCGCAGAGCCACATCAGGCATGGGCTAGTGTCGGTGTGGTGCTCTGTATGTCCTCACCGGTCCTGCCCCTCAGGTGTGAAGTCTGCGGGTTCCAGTGCAGACAACGAGCCTCCCTCAAGTACCACATGACCAAGCACAAGGCTGAGACTGAGCTGGACTTTGCCTGTGACCAGTGCGGCCGCCGCTTCGAGAAGGCTCACAACCTGAATGTCCACATGTCCATGGTGCACCCACTGACACAAACCCAAGATAAGGCTAGACCCCTGCAGACAGAGCCCCCTGGGCTGCCAGGTCCCCCAGGGACAGGAGAGGGCCAGGCCGTGAAGCCTGAACCCACCTGAGGCCAGTGGGTGGGACAGCTAAGCAGGGCTCCGCAGTACCAGCGTGCTGGGCCTAGGTTCGTGGCACACAGCAGGGGTGGTGGGTGCTACTGGCTGCCCTAAGTGGTGAGGGAGGGGCTCAGTGCTTGGCTGTGAGCCCTACTGGCTTCCCGCTGGGACCAGCAACTTTTCTTGGAGCCAGCTCAGATTTTCAATAATTGATTATTCCTCCTGCTAAAGTAATCAAGACCATTGTGACCCGCCGTGCAGTGTAACCAGAGCGCAGAGGCTGTGCCCACATTTGTTTACTCAGCAGCTGGGATGGAGGGCAGCCTCCCCCTCCCCAGGAGCTCCTGTCAGAAGAGCCTGGGCTCCCGATACAGGTCTGGGTCCGGGTCCGGGTCCGGGTCCCGGTCCGGGTCCGGGTCCAGGTTGGGAGGAACTGGCAGCTTTTTCCTGAGGGCGGCGCTCACCTCAGGGTCCAGGTCCTTGCTAGCCTCCAGCAGCTATGAGAGCACACAGGCTCAGTCCTGCCGGCCCCGTGGGACCAGCTGACGGACTGACTGACTGTTCTGAAGAGGCGTGAAAACTCTCCACCTCATGAGTGTGGGCGGGCCGCATTACCTCCATCAAGTTCAAGCAGCTCCTCTCCGGGCACCGAGGGATGGACTGCAACAGGAAGCCCCGAGCCTTTGTGATCAGTCCCAAGGCATCTCTCTGGGGTGGAGAAACAGGCACAGGGTCACACAGCATGGCACCTCAGATACATTCTGTGTGCTCCTGTGTTTGTCCCAAGGTGCCTCTGCAGGAGGTACTG